TGCTGAACTGTCACTCAGAGGGAAGACAGACAAGTCCATTTCCACCTATTGGTCAGATTCTCTCCCAAAAATAATTAACTTAGATCATTCATGGAATGAATCTGCATTTTAAAACATTAAGAGACGCCAAATGACACTTGCATAGTGCTTTACAAAATGCTGTAACATTCATATCTTATTTGACTTCCCTGATCACTGTTGGAATTCCCCCCAGTTTTACCGAAGAGCAGTAGGAAGTCAAGAACGAAGGCCTGAGCTCTGGCCTTTGGCTCCCAGTCCGGTGCTCTTCCCAGCAGACTCTCCCTCCTTCCCACACTCTGCAAATAATGTCCACATGTCACAGTCTCAGAAAATGTGTGTGTGTGATGTGTGTTTGCATATCAGCCTCAACCTTCCACCCATCTCCACCACCACTGTCATCACACCTGCCATTCCTGGGTCAGAGTTGCCCAGGAGAACAAAAATGTTATATTCAGGGGTTCTTCTGTATCAGCCAGGGTTCCCCAGAGAAATAGAACCAACAGGAGAGGTGTGGTGTGGTGTGTGTGTGTGTGTGTGTGTGTGTAAAATATTTACTTTTTATTTATTTTAAGAAATTGGGTCATGTGATTTTGAAGCTGGCAAGCATGAAATCTGCAGAGCAGGCTGGAAACTTATGCAGGAATTCAGGCTGCAGTCTTGAGGCAGAATTTCTTCTTTCCTGGAAAAACTTAAGTTTTTGCTCTTAAAGCCTTCAACCAATTGGATCAGGCCCCACTACGCTATAGAGGGCAATCTCCATCAGTTGAAGTGAGCTGATGGTAGATGGTAATCACATTTACGAAACACCCTGGTTGTTGTCACATGCAAATGACCATCCCATCATGTCCAGTGCTGACGCTACGAACGAGAGGGCATGAGGAAGAAGAGTTTGGAGGAGACAAAAGTATCCCTTCTAACCAAAAACCGAGAGATAGGATGCCAGGAAAGGGAGCATTCCCACATGAGACTTAGGGGAAGGGTGACCTCTTTGGTCCCATTCTGCCAGGAATTTAAGAGATGTGTTCCCATCAGGGAGGGAGTCTGAATAAAACTCCTCTTCCCAGAGCACAGGCCCTGTACCCTCCCACAGCTGCTTCTGTGGCATGGGTTCCAACCAGCTCTGCTCAAAGATTCCTCTGCTAGGAAGAAGATGGTGTCACATCATGGCATTGGGATTCAAACATCATCAGGAGCCAAGGATGGGATACGTGGAGGTCTAGGAACTGGGGCCCGAGGCAAACTGGACAGGAACACTTTGTCCACAGGAACCTGACAGTCATCTTTGAAATCACAGCAGCAACAATGTGCCTGAGAGAGCTGGGGGCCACCAGTCTGCCACCTTACTCAGCGGTAATGAAGTCCACAGCCTGGGAGCCGTAAGTGCGGAGTCACAGTCTGTGGAGAGATTCTGCAGATACAAAGAAGATGGGAAAAATACCTGATACCAACTAGGCTCAAAGACCCCAACAACTGCTCCCCATCTGCAGCCCCCTTCATATCCTGGAGCACCGATGAGCTCAGTCCTCACATTAAGCCTCACCCTCCTGGAAAACAGTCACCCCATGATTGATTTTTCTTGATTAAATTATTTCCTGCATTTGATAAATAACACCTGCCCTGTCCTATGGCTTTCCTCTGACTCTGTTTATTAAATAATGCTCGAGATTTTTCTTCTTGCACGATAGGTACTAAAGGCACAAAATTTAAACTCATCATACCAAGGGGAGGGCTCCAGCCATCCACGGCTTCGCACCAGACAGTGACAAGCTGAGCGAGTCCAGGAACTGAGGCAGCACAGCTTTAATGGAAAGAGATTTGGTTCTGGAGTCAGACCTAGGGGTCATCCTGGTGCAATCTCAGCCCCTGGGAGACCTTTGGCAAGCAGTTAACCTTCATAATCCTCAGCACGAAAATCATCTGAAAACAGGGTTTTCCCATCTGTAAAATGAGAATTGTTGAGGCGTCCATAGTATGGAAGACTACCTTTGACAGTGTAACGTGCACATGAACACAGGCGCTCACCCACTTCCCATCCTGTTTATAACTCCCTGCTGAGCCTTGTCACCCACACCCTCAGGCAGTCTCTGCTTTGGGGCTAGTGTGGGTTACTGCTGCTGTGTCACACACCACCACAAATGCATCGGCTTTTTTTTCCTTTTGAGAGGGAGTCTCTCTCTGTCACCCAGGCTGGAGTGCAGTGGTACAATCTCAGCTCACCGCAACCTCCACCTCCTGGGTTCAAGCCATTCTCCTGCCTCAGCCTTCTGAGTAGCTGGGATTACAGGTGCCCACCACCATGCCCAACTAATTTTTGTATTTTTAGTAGAGATGAGGTTTCTCCATGTTGGCCAGGCACTCTCTAACTCCTGACCCCAGGTGATCTACCCTCCTTGACCTCCCAAAGTGCTGAGATTACAGGCATAAGCCACCATGCCCAGCCATGCATCAACATTTTAAACAACCTTTTTTATGCTCAAGGATTCTGCTGGTCAAGAGTTCAAACAAGGTGTATCAGTCTGTTTTCACACTGCTATAAAGAAATATCCAAGACTGGGTAATCTATGAAGGAAAGAAGTTTAATTAACTCACAGTTCTGCATGGCTGGGAAGGCCTCAGAAAACTTACAGTCATGGCAGAAGGTGCAGGAGAAGCAAGTACTTTCCTCACAAGGCGGCAGGAAAAGGAGAGCGTGAAGGAGGAACTGCCAAACACTTATAAAACCATCATATCTCATGAGAACTTACTATCATGAGAACAGCATAGGGGAAACTGCCCCCATGATCCAATCACCTCCCACCAGGTCCCTCCCTTGACACGTGGTATGAGAGATGAGATTTGAGTGGGGACACAGAGACAAACCCTATCACAGGACAAGGCAAGAATTGTTTCTCTCTGCTGCACAATGTCTGAGGGCTCAGATGGAAAGCATCGGAGGCTGGGATGACTCTGACTACCTACTGGAATCATCTAAAGACCTGTTCACTGACACACCTGGCTGCTGGCCACAACATCTCCACATGGCCTCTCCATGTGACTGCTTGGGCTTCCTCACAGCATGGTGGCTGGATTCCAAGGAAAAACGTCCCAAGAGAGCCAGATGGAAAATGTACTGCCTTTTATTTATTTATTTTGAGACAGAGTTTCACTCTTGTTGCCCAGGCTGGAGTACAATGGCGTGATCTCGGCTCATGGCAACCTCTGCCTCCTGGGATCAAGAAATTCTCCTTCCTCAGCCTCCTGAGTAGCTGGGATTACAGGCATGCACTATAATTTTGTATTTTTGGTAGAGATGGGGTTTCTACATGTTGGTCAGGCTGGTCTAGAACTCCCAACCTCAGGTGATCCACCTGCCTCAGCCGTGGCTGGGATTACAGGCATGAGCCACCGTGCCTGGCCTAATGTATTGCCTTTTATGATGTAGCCTCTGAAGTCCCATAGCATCACTTCAGCTATAATTGCACATCCACTCTGATTCATGGGGAAGAAAGATGAAAATTCCCACTGTAAGAATAACATGTGAGATGAAAGAGATTGTTACAGTCATTTTTGGAAAATTCAATCTGCCATCAGGTCTGTGTCATTAGATGAATGAACAAGCTAGCACGTTCAAATTTTGAACCAGGAATGGAACTTGGCAGATGTCGTCTCCCCCTATTCCTGGTCATTTCTGGCTCCAGATGTCCACTGAGATCAGCACAAGTTGCACCGATATCAGGAAATCTGACCAAGGCAAAGTGCAAACCACGAAGTACTCTAAGGAGAGAGAGGGACAGATTGCCCTTTCCTACCATCCTGATCTCCCTGCCTCCTTGGAGACCTAAGCTTGTCTTGGTATTTATGTCTCCCCATTTTCCAGAATGATTCCCCCCTCCCATCCTATAGGCAGTGCTCCCTGGGGTCTGCAGCTTTGGGGTGTTTGTAGCACACCCTGCTACCTGGAGACTTACTGCAAATGCAGAATCTCCACCCCACCCTAGACCTACAGAACTTGCATTTGAGCAAGATTCCCAAGTACTCCCTGTACTGACTAAAGTGACTGCAGCACCAGAGTACAGGAAAGAGAACTTGATTTGAAAGCTGTCACTGGGCTTCAGTTCTAATTCTAGCTTTGTCCACTTACTAACTGGGCAAAACTGGGCAAGTTATTTAACATATCTTGGCCTCAGTTTCCATAATATGTAACTTTGGTATGATGATAGCTGTCTTAGTGTATGTGTATGTGTGGTAGAGAGAGAGACAGAGACAGAAACAGAGAGAGACAGAGGAGTGATTGTTCCTCCCGAGGCAGAGAACCAATACATTTCAACTCCACAGGCCAAGCACCACTGTCAGCCCCACCCGGCAGGGTGGAGACCTCTCCCACAGCCCCTCCCTGCTGTGGGTCCATCAGGAGGCTGTGAGCAGAGTGGTCCTTTGGCTGTGGTGGTCCGTGAAAATGGTGGGCAGTAGCGCTGCAGGGAGACAGCAAGTCAGACCTTTCCTCCAGAGCAGCTGAAGCAGAGGCTCAGCAAGTCCCCCTCCCAGGAGAGAGCTGTCTCTGAAAGGCAAGGGGTCTCAGGAAGCCGGCTCTCCTTTGGAGACCTTATTTATTTTCTCTAATAGAGACTGTTTATCACCCACTTACAGGGGTTTTGACTGGGGCTTTTTGTCGCCCTTTAGACTCTGGAAATTAGGTCAATCCCCTCCAGAATTTACTTGAGCTGGGAAACCTGACTTTCAGTGGCTGCTGAGGGGCCCCACCAACAGGCTCAGGGAGGATTCACAGAACCACGGTCCCTGTGCCCAGGGCAGTCACAGAGGTCACCTCAGCTCTCCCCGCCGTGAAAACACCATAGATACCCAGGCCTGCCAGGCTCCAGGTGTGTCTGTGGGGATGGGGGAGGGCTTGAGTAAAAAATCATACATCAGTATCATCCTGGAAAGCAGGAGGAGAACCGGGAGAAATGTTAACAGAATCATTAACTATTCAGTCCCTCTAAGCCTTTATTCAAAATGTTCTTAAGAATGATCTCATCCTTCCCTGACGCTGCAAGCTGTGAAGAAAGCTTGGGTCCTACTATATCAATACCAATAGCTGGAAGTCCTTCCTTATGTCTAACTTAAAATCTTACCGCTCTAAGTATCTGCAACTTGCTGCTCCCAGCACCTGGAACGTAATAAGTTTTCTGTAGCTACATGGTGCGTTGTTGCTCCGGAAGACCGTCCCCCGAGGAAGGCAGAAGAAAATCTCTGCATTGCTTTCCTGCCTCCCTGGCAGATCTGGTTTCCTTAAGGCTAGACAGCCCAGGTGTGCTAAGCATCGTACTAGCCCCACTGGCCTCCACCCCACGAGAGTCCAGACAGACGATCAACGCTGAATTGTCCTTCACAATTGGGCACAAAGCTGTGGGGACATGTGATTTTCTTTTCCCAAAGGAAACTGACACTGAGATGCCTCATTGAAGTAGAAATAAAAACTAGGGAAATACTGCATCACAGAGATCAGGGACTCTCTAGCAGGAACTTTGTTACAGGAAACAATCCAGCTGCTGATCCTCCGGGTGACCAAGCCTCAGTTTGTCTTCTGTACCATGGCGTTTCTGCGAACATATAATAGGTCTGTTTGTTTCGTTGCCCAGTAAAGTTCAGGCAAATCTAGGTAATTGTATAGATACTGTTACTTATTAACACATTTCAAACATTTCTGCAGAATGTGCTGGTGCTATCACAGGCACCTCCTTGGAGCCCAGCCTCAGCAGGCAGGATTGAGTGTCCTGGGACGGGTCATCCCGTGATCCTTGGAGCAGGGACACAGAGGTCCTCACTCAGCGTCTTCTGAATCGCTGTGAGGCTGTGGGCCAAGTGTCTTTCCCAGGGCAGCCACATGCCGCTGGAAATCAGAGGCAGCAGAGGAAGCTGATTAAGTGAAGTTGGGGAGCTTGGGAGCTTAGGAGCCTGGAGGAGGGGCCAGCAGCAGATCAGACCCTGAAGGCAGATGTCCCAGGAAGGGAGGGGGAAGGAGCAGGCCTCTTCCACGCCACCTGGCTAATCCTTGAATCACAGAATCTGCATAATATAGACGAGTTCTAATGATGCGATCCCCACACAGCCAGACTTGGAAAAGCCCAGCCCCACAGCCTAGGGGTGTGACTGGCATGGCTACAAAGGCAAAAAAAAAGGCTTCCCTGAAGATTTGCTCTCAGCCTGTACAGATCTGGGTCTGGCTTTGGGGTTGAAGGCAAAGACTGAGGGGTCTGTAACCGTGGGCTGAGTGTCCTCAGCAGTGCAGGGAAACGCGTTCCTCAAAGGTCAGCTGCCCACCTCTAAGCAGGTACAAACCCACCCAAAGCATCTCCTCTCTCTGTGGGAAAAACACGGAGAATTGCTAAACTTCGACCCCAGGCTGTGGACCAATTACAGGCTACAATGGGAATGGACCAAGTTAACCAGCCGAAGGGGTCAGTGTGGCTGACGAGGTCCCCAGATGCCTCAGCAGGAACAGCCAGCCTTCACCTTCCTGCAAATGCTCCTGTGCTTTCGAATCACAACTTAGCTGCTCAGTTTCTCGGTTCCTCCAGGGAGTGCTATCTATCATTTCAGCCTGCCAGCACCCTGTCAAACCCTGCTATTCATACAAATCTGCTAATAGGAGAGCCTTCTCTTTCTTCCAGAAGCTTCTGTCACAGGCAGAGGAGGACAGAAAAAAAGGACAGGAGGGGAAAATGGGAGAGGAGCAGCCTGCAGCATTAAGGACCCAAATTACAGTGATGAGAGGAGAGAACAGAGGGAATCATGGCAGACCCATGGAGGTGGTGTTTATGACAGATGGGGTCTTGCAAGGGGTCCTCTGTTTACCAGTGCAGAGGCAAACAGCTAACACAGCCGCAAGAGGACCAGCTCCTGAGAGCCATCCTGGGAGGTACTATGAAATCCCTGTATTTCATTTCACATGTCCATATGTTTGAGTCTGTATGTGGGGTGATGTAGGTAGAAAAAAGTTCATTCTCACTCCCCACCACAAAGAATTCATATCCAAGACTTGCCCATGAAAGTTACCAGAACCCCCACCATACCTCCTGGCCTGTCCCCCCTCCCTCTCCCAGGTGATGCCCCCCATCTGCCTTCTCCCACCCCCGAATCAAAATTCCAAAACCTAGGGCCTCCAACTCCACTTCCACCTATTGCTTTCCTTAGGGACAACCTTCCAGGGGGCCCCGTTGGAGTGAGCCCATGTATATACAGTAAATGGAGTCACTCAGCAGCAGCTGGCAAATGTTTTCAATGAGATGGAAAATCAGGTTGAAGGTATCGTGAAATATGGTGCTTACAGGGAGGCCCAGACGTGTGGGCTAAGTACTTTGTGATTAGGCCTGCCTTACCCATTCCTCCCTCCAAACCCCGTCTCTTCACCCTCCTTCTTTCCTTCTCCAGAGTTTTTAAAGTTAAAATGTGCCTATGTATTTTATTAATATCTTGTAAGAGAAGTTTCTTCAAGCAAACGGTTCTTTGCCTTAGGGGTCAATGTGATCTTTTTTGTATATGTGTATAACAGGATATGTTGGCTTGTAAATGTGTGTGAGTTTCTGAGTGTAGGTGCCGAATAAATGTTTATTGATGATGCCTACCTATGCAGTCTGCATGGTGCTTGTATTTCTATTGCATGCGCATTTGCACATCACACACACACACACACACACACACACACACACATACAGCCTTGCTTCCAGAGCCATACATGCTCTATTTTCAGTTTCTGGATGTCCTGAGAGGTTATATCCTATCTAGATGGATGGAGAGAGAGCACACTTAGATTTCTACCAAGATGTGTTCTCCTGATTCACGAGAACCCCTGCTCCTCTACACACAGCATCTCATGCCACACAGTGCAGGGAAGTACAATCCTCAAAGGTCAGCTGCCCACCTCTGAGCAGGTGCAAACCCACCCAGTGCATCCTCCCAGCCACCCTTTCTCCCCTCTGACTTCTGCTCTCCTCCTAAATGGTCTCTCTTTGCCCCCTGCCTCCTCCTCCTTCATTTCCTTTGTCCAGAGAGGCAGAGGTTAGGTGTGCTTGACTCGGATTCACGGAGTGCAGACATCAAAACAGCAAAGGGATGTGGACACCATCTCCACCCTCTCATTTCATGGACAGGCTGAGGCTCGGGGATGCTGAAGGATTTCTCCCACATGCACAAGATAGGTCACGGAAGAGCCTGCAGCAGAGTATGTGTTTTCCAGCCTTCCCCACAACCTGGCCCTGGGTGGAGGAAGCGCTTCCCTGGACCTAACTCCACCTCCCACATCAGAGGTGCTGCACTCAGGAAGTGCAGCCAACCAAGATCACCAGGGGGTGAAACGAGCAACCCGTGCAGCCTGGGCTGACAGTCACACCCAATGTCTCTAGGATGGAAACCTGGTAGAGATCCTGTTTCCCGTGAGCAAGAAGAACGCGAGATGAGACACAGGAGGACCAATCCCGCTGCCCTCGGGTGTCTCATGTGACTTCACAGAGGACAACCCTGGCCCCTCCGTGCCCAGCTCTGGCAGGTGGCATGTTAGTGGACTCTGTCCAGCAGGCAGAGTTCACAGAGAGGAAGAACAAGACGACATAAGCATGACATCCCAGATGCTGGCCCTGGGAGGGTTTTAGGGACCATCTCCTCATTCAGTGCCTTGTATTACACAGAAACTGGCCACAGAGAGAGGCTCCAGGACTGGCCAAAGCCGCTGGGACCGGTCCCTGGCTCTGCACGCCCAGGGTGCTGCCCCGCTCACAAACCCTCGCCGTCCATTCCTTTTTGGAGTGGGTCCTGGTGGCACTCCTATGGAACGGCCTGCGTGTGGGGAGGCCTAGGTGTGGCCTGGCCTCAGGTAAGGACACATCCAGGTGACCCGCCTGTTGTGTCCCTGCTGTCTGTGCCACACCCAAGTCCCTTTGCTTCCCGGAGATGGAGCAAATGACGGAAGTGCCCAGAGGAGGCTGGCCTGGGGACACACGGTGTGGGAGCTCTTTCGTCCACCTGGGTCACCCTCCGCAAAGCCACTGCTCCGGACTTCCCGCGCCCGTCCCCAGGCAGCCAGGACTGACGCGGAAGGCAAGGAAGGGGCTGCGGTCGCGTGGTTCCTTCTCCAAGGACAAGCGCGCCCTCTCCCGCTGGAACGAGGAAGCGCGGGCCCGGCCCCGCTCAGAGCCGGAGGATGGAACCCGCAGCCGCCCGCCCCCGCTGGAGAAACCGGCTTAGAAACAGCCGGGAAGGCCGGGCGCGGTGGCTCAAGCCTGTAATCCCAGCACTTTGGGAGGCCGAGGCGGGTGGATCACGAAGTCAAGAAATCGAGACCATCCTGGTCAACATGGTGAAACCCCATCTCTACTGAAAATACAAAAAATTAACTGGGCATGGTGGTACGTGCCTGTAATCCCAGCTACTCAGGACGCTGAAGCAGGAGAATTGCCTGAACCCAGGAGGCGGAGGTTGCAGTGAGCCGAGATCACGCCATTGCACTTCAGCCTGGGTAACAAGAGTGAAACTCCGTCTCAAAAAAAAAAGAAAGGAAAGGAAAGGAGAGGAGGGGAGGGGAGGGGAGGGGAGGGGAGGGGAGAGAGGGAGGGGAGGGGAGGGGAGAGAGGGAGGGGAGGGGAGGGGAGGGGAGGGGAGGGGAGGGGAGGGAGGGAAGGGAGGGGAGGGGAGGGGAGGGGAGAGAGGGAGGGGAGGGGAGGGGAGGGAGGAGAGGGGAGGGGAGGGGAGGGAGGGGAGGGGAGGGGAGGGGAGGGGAGGGGAGGGAGGGGAGGGGAGGGGAGAGAGGGAGGGGAGAGAGGGAGGGGAGAGAGGGAGGGGAGGGGAGAGAGGGAGGGGAGGGGAGGGGAGAGAGGGAGGGGAGGGGAGGGGAGGGGAGGGGAGGGGAGGGGAGGGGAGAGAAGGAGGGGAGGGGAGGGGAGGGGAGGGGAGAGAAGGAGAGGAGGGGAGGGGAGGGGAGGGGAGGGGAAAGAGGGAGGGAGGGAGGGAGGGAGGGAGGGAGGGAGGGAGGGAAGGAAGGAAAGAAAAGAAAAGAAAGAAAGAGCCAGGAAGGCAACCAGAGGCCTTCCCATTTCCGGGGTGCTCCGAGGATTCAGGAGGGAGTAGAACCTAGGAGGAGAAGGAAGAGGGGCTGCCTGAACTCTGTGAGGAGAGGGAGGGGATCCTTGCATTTGGGATTTAGGGCAAAATCCTTGCATTTGGGATTTAGGGCAAAATCCTTGCATTTGGGATTTAGGGCAAAATACTTATATTTGGGATTTAGGCTCCTTCCCATCCTTTGTCCTCTCCACGAAGTTCTCTTTCCCCAACCACCAAACTGTGCCCATGAAGTGAATGGCCGGATAAGGAGCCAGTGGGAGCCATAGTGTCTGGAGCTTTTACTCGGCCATCTCTCGAGCCCTGGGAAAAGTTTTAAAACATTCACTTTGGCAACTTTGAGTTTGGTTGAAAGCGTGGTGTCTCCGCAGGAAGAGTACAGGACTGGGAATGAGGCTTCCTGGGATCTGTTTCCATTTCAACCACTCTTTTCCCCTGTGTTAAGTCACGTGTTCTCTTTATGGCTCAGTTTCCTGACCTATTAAATGGG